TGTGGCTAGTCATGGGGGCCTGGTCGAACCTCTGGGGGCGCTCTTGGCAGTCTCTTGGAGCCACTTTGAGTCGGTCGGGGGTCTGGGGCGTCTGTTGTCGCCTCCGGCGAGCCTCTGGAGGCCTTCATGGGTCCTCTTGGGCGGCTCTGGGGCATTCGGAGGCTCACCAACAGCGTGATGCCAAACATTTGGACCGCTTGGAAACCTGAATGATCACGGCAAGCAGAAAGGCCGCCGGGCCCCTCCGAAAACCTCCCCCTCTTCCCAAGACGTCTTCATCCTCCGAACATCCACCCTCCTCCGACGACGCCCCCCCGCCTTCAGACACCTCCCCTTTCCCCCGGACGCGTTTTTGTCGGAGTTTCGACCGCAATCCCGAACATGGGGTGAGGGGGGGGGGGACGCGACACGACGGCCGAATCGGGGATGGACAGACCCCCCTTTAGTAAAACGTGGTTTAGTGAAAACGACCTGAGGCCCAAACCTGGCGGCCGCAAGCCTGGAAAATACCTGCCACGGCGCCCTCTCGAGAACCGAAGACGGACAATTCACTTATCGACGTGTCACTGTTGGGGGTTCTGTCTACCCCCGACCGAAAGCGGCCGCGCGCGACAGCAGTCCGTGCCTGGTCAAATTCTGGTGGCACGCCGAAGGGGGCTGGGCGAGGGGGGCCAGCCACGGGAGAAAGCAGCGGGGCGCTCCGGGGAGCAGAAGACGGGAGAAGCGCATGACCAGAACCGCGAAGGGTCGTTAGAGGGGGGAGGAGGAGGAGGAGGAGTAGGAGTAGGAGTAGGAGTAGGAGTAGGAGTAGGAGTCAAGCTAGCCAGCTCGAGCGAGTCAAGCATGGCATGCCCAGTCCCACCCGCCCTCCCACAACATAAGAAGCAAAGCTGGCACAACTGGGGGCCGAAGTCACACCGGCCAGCCGGTTTGGTACAGCTGATGCGGCCGCGATGGCGGTTGCCGACGGGAACTGGCGAGCGCGTGTTGAATGCCGCGCACGCATTGCCAGACGAGTCGAGAATGGCCTGGTACACCGCAGGAAGCCAGAGGTGGCCGGAGGAAGCCCGACGGTCTGACAGGACACCCCAAAGCATTTTTGTGAAAAAGCATTGGGTTTTTGATGTTTTTATGTTGAAATGCTTGCAAACACACGGTGTTCGGTAGGATTCTGACATGAACGCGCGAGTGTGCTCTTTGTGGTATTTTTTGCACAGGATTCGCGGCCTGGGTGCATGACAGAGCATCGCGAGTGCACCGCGCGATGACGTGAAATCGCTGGATTTGACAGAATTCTTAAGATTCCTATGGTTTTCCTATGATTTCAGCAAGAGAGCCCGGGCGGGAAATTTGTACAATTTTTGTGAAAAAGCATTGGGTTTTTGATGTTTTTATGTTGAAATGCTTGCAAACACACTGTGTTCGGTAGGATTCTGACATGAACGCGCGCGTGTGCTCTTTGTGGTATTTTTTTGCAATGGATTATCGCCGTGGACGACAGGACGTCCATGTCGAGAGGAAAAAATAAGAAAAATGTTGATTTTATATTGTTTTTTATAGATTAGGATGGGACCCCCCGGATGCGGCCCCTAATGGCCGGCCTGAGGGGGGAGTAGGAGTATATTCTAATAAGGAATAAGGATAGAAGGAGGAGGAGGAGGAGGAGAGGGAGGTTTTAGGACCAGTCCTATTCGCCGCCGAGCGACAGGGGGGGGAGTCAAAGCAAAAGACCCTTATGGGTTAACCTTTCGAAACTCAGCGTGGTTTCCTTGGATCGGCGCTGGATTTACTCAGCGGGAAAAATGTATAACCACAATCGCGAAAGATCGTTAGAGGGGGGAGCAGTCACGATGCCCGTGCGGTTCTGCCAAAGACGGTCAAGCTGAACAACCTTGGCACCACCCTCAAACAACGGTATCCACCAGCTGTCGGGGGCAGCCATCGGAAGGAGGAGGATGAGGAAGGCACAGGAGAGACGAGGAAGCGGGGGGGCGAGAATGGAGAAGAACATCAGGGGAAGGGATGAGGAGTAGGTCGACGAGGAGAAGTGATGAGGGTAACAATAGGATTAAGTCGGGCCTGTCCCCCTACAGGGGGATTTTGGATGAAAAATAAAAAATACCCCAAACAAAACTTGAAACAAGTCCAATAATAGTCTGGGGACTATTTTGGGAATCTGGTTTGACCATTAGGGGGTATGTTGGGGGTATTTTTTGATTTTTCGCCCCAAATCCCCCTGTAGGTGGACAGGCCCGACCTAACACAATAGGAGGACGACGAGAGCGGCGACATGACACAGAAAGAACATCGCCTGGCGCTCAGTCAAGGAGGCCCGCGCTTCGGCCTCAGCGCGGGGGGCCGAAGGCGGAGGGGCGTCGAGGGGGAGTGGGCAAGGGACACCCTCCTCCTCCTCCTCTTCCTGCTCCTCCTGCTCCTCCTCCTCCTCCCTCCTCCTCCCTCCCTCCTCCTCCTCCCCCCCCTCCTCCTCCTCCTCCTCCTCCCTCCTCCTCCTCCTCCTCCTCCTCCTCTTCCTCCTCTCCCTCCCTGCCTCTTTTCCTTCCCCCCCCCTCCTCCTCCTCCTCCTCCTCCTCCTCCTCCTCCTCCTCCTCCTCCTCCTCCTCCTCCTCCTCCTCCTCCTCCGCTGAAGCGAACCGGCACGCGCACAGGCCAAGGCACCACGGCGGCGGAAGAGGAGCATGCTGGGGAGCCAAGGCAACACCAGCGACACGCCGCCGCGGGCATCCTGCCGGCGTGGAGCTGCTGGAGAGATGCCAGGCCTTCGGAGGCGGGGGGGCTTCCGAGCCTTCTGTCGGGAGCGGCCAAGAGGGGGGTGTCCAAGAGGGGGGGGTGCAAATCATGACCGGCGGCATGTGCGCGGCCCAGCGGGGGGACCAGGGACGTAATGAAATAAGAAGAGGCGCCATGAGATCTGGGGAAATATCATGGCCCCCGCCATGATATCCACCCCCCCCTAGTCATCACCCCCCTCTTTTCCGCCCCCGATTCTGAGAAGGCCCGCCCCTTCTCACTTGGCCCCCCCTCGGGCTTGCCGACGACAGAGATCCTGCTCGAAGAAATCCAGGGGGCACGCTCGTCGTCGAAGCTCGAGCTTCCCGAGGTGCCCCTGGGCCTCTGTGGGGCCTCCACCGGGGCCATCGGGGGAGTAAGGAGCTTCCGCCGGGCAGCTGATGGGGCAAGCCTTGCAAGCCGTGCCTGAGCATTGCATGGTGTTTCGAACGATCCCCACCCGAGGAAGCGAGGCGGGATCCTGGCGTGAGGTCGCGCATGTCCTCCTGCAGGCGGGTTCTGGAAGACAAATGGGAAATGGTCCAAACATGCTCAAACAAATCAGGAATGGTAGAACACTCGTTCCCATCTTGTTTTTGATTATATAAAGGAATGTTCCTCCTGTGGAGGGACATGCCCGACACGACCCCAACCGAGAGAGCGAGGCGGGATCCGGGGCGGCCGCGGTAACACTTGTCAGCCGCCAGCAACAAAAACGGCGGGGCCCGCTCTGGCACTCGGCGCGAGCTCCCGCTGCAAAAGCTCGGGCGAAGAGAACTATGCACATGCACCGATCCTGACAACGTCCATCCGTGGCCCAGACTCGGTGCATATACCTTCCTGGCCAAGGCAAGAGGGCGCATGCACCGATCCTGGGCTCAGGATGGGCCTGGCCAGAATCGGTGCATGTGCATAGTTCTCTTTCCTGCAAGAGCGCATCCACGCCGACCAAGCTCGCGCCGGGACGGCCGGGAGACGACGGAGCGGAGGGGGTGCGTCTGCGAGCTGTCCCGGATCCGTGCTCGCCCGATGCGGGGAGAGCTTTCGATCGCCCCGTCGGGAAGCAGGGGCTCCGCTGCCCGCAGTCTGCCCAGGGCACGCGAGGGAGAGAGAGGCGGAGGGGGTGCCTCTGCGAGCTGTCCTGGATCCGTGTGCGCCCGGCGCGGGGAGAGCTTCCGATCGCCCCGTCGGGGACGGAGGAGGGCAGCCGTCGCGCAGCAGGAGGCGCGCGCGGCGCGGGCGCCGAGGCGCCAGCGCTCGGGGTGCCGTCTGCCAGCGTGGTTCGGCACCAGCGCGCCTCCCGGGGCGGAACGGTCGCCGCCGCCGCCGTCGCTGCCGTTGCTGCATGCCCGTCGTCGTTGCTGCTGCCGCCGCAATCGCCATCATCGTTGCCGTAGTCATCAACATCCTTCTCCTCCCTCCTCCTCTGCTCGTGCTCCTCCTCCTCCTCCTCCTCGGCATCACCGTACATAAGCATCACCAATGATCATCGACATCATCATCCCCCTCATCATGCCACTCGTCGAAGTGGCCATCAGTCATCACTACCATCCTCGTCGTCATCGTTCTCGTCGTCGTAGCCGCCTGCGTCACGGCCGCCGCCTTTCGCCGTCGTCATCGCGGCTGCCGCCGTCGTTCAAGTCCATCCGCTCCAGGCGACGACGAAGACGACGCGGCGACGGCAGTGACGGCAGTGACGGCAGTGACGGCAGTGACGGCAGTGACGGCAGTGACGGCAGTGACGGCAGTGACGACGACGACGACGACGACGACGACGACGACGACGACGACGACGACGACGACGACGACGACGACGACGACGACGACGACGACGACGACGGCGGCGGCGGCGGCGGCGGCGGCGGCGGCGGCGGCGGCGGCGACGATTCCCTCCAGGCGGCGGGCGCCGCTGTACACCCCCCTCTCGCGTCGGCCTGCGTCTTGCTGCGCGCAGGTTTTGGGGCGCGCTCCGCAGGCATCGTCGGGCGTTGGGGGAGAACTGGAGGAGGAGGAGCAGGAGGAGGAGGAGAAAGAGGAAAGGGAGGAGGAGGAGAAAGAGGAGGAGGAGGAGGAGGAGGAGGAGGAGGAGGAGGAGGAGGGAGGAGGAGGCAGGAGCGGAGGAGGACGAGGAGGAGGAGGAGGAGGGAGGCGATGGGGACAGGGGTGGGGGCAGGAGACCGAGGGCAGAATAGTAACGGGGAAATGGGAAGGAGGGTGCAGGGAGGGCAGGCGAGCCAGCGGGCGCAGCCGGCTCTCACGAGAGGTGGCGGAGCTGTGCTGACCTGAAAAGGCGCAGGAGGAGGAGGAGGAGATGCAGGAGGAGGAGCAGGAGGAGGAGGAGGAGGTGGAGGAGGAGAAGGAGCAGGAGGAGGAGGAGGAGGAGGAGGAGGAGGAGGAGAAGGAGGAGGAGGAGGAGGAGGAGAGAGCAGGAGAGGAGGGAAGCAGGAGCAGGAGGAGGAGGAGGAGGAGGAGGAGGAGGAGGAGGAGGAGGAGGAGGAGGAGGGGGAAGGAGTATGACGACGACGACGACGACCACCACAACTGCGGTGACGGTGGCGGCGGCGGTGTCGGCGAAGGCGCGGGCACCTTTCGCAGCCTGCAGGCCAGCTGCTCTGGCACCTTTGTGGCGCCGTCCGCGGGCAGGATGATGCACCTCTGCTCAGGATTCAGGATTCGGGATCGATGTGGGGGGGGGAGAGGGCGCAAAAGGTAGTTTCGGGGGCCTCCCAGGGCGCTCTCGTCTCTGCGGCCGCATCCGCCTCGAGGTTCTGGACAGGACGCGCCCCACCACAAGTCGGGAGGTCGATGTTTGGAGCCTGGGTCCAAAACGTCCTTTGACACGGGTGAGATCGAGCTGGCCAGTGCTGTCCCAAGTTTGGGCCTCTGGGGGAGCAGGCAACAGAGGGGAAGATGAGGACGGAAGGGCGAACCAGGAGGAGCACGAGCAGGGGAGGAGGAATTGGATGATGATGAGGAGGAGGAGCATGAGGAGGAAGAGAAGAAAGAGGTGAACGAGAAGGACGAGGATGATGAGGAGGAGGATGAAGATGAGGTAAAAGGGGGAGGAGGAGGAGGAGGAGGAGGAGGAGGAGGAGGAGGAGGAGGATGACAAGGAGGAGGATGACGAGGAGCAGGAGGAGGAGGAGGAGGAGGAGGAGGAGGAGGAGGAGGAGGAGGAGGAGGGGGAGAGAGACGTGCCGGGAGGCAGGCGCGGCCCAGGGCCCGAGGCTGAGCTGCACGGTCTTGGGTCGACGCCCTGCGAGCTGGTGCCTTCCCAGCCCGTGGACCCCCAGGGATCCCGACCCCCTTCTCCCGCCCGAGGCCTGCCGAAACGACGCCGCGGGCCTGAGCGGGAGGCAGCGGGCGAGGGGCGGCCGCGGCTGGCAGCCCCTCGTCCTGGCAGAGGGCGCTCGACGGAGCGTGTTCTGTGGGCTCTGCCGCTGCCGGCGCGCTGCTCCGCCCAGAGCCTCGTTGGCGGCGCGAGCTGACGTCAGGATCGTCCGCCTCCCTCACGGAGAGAGAGAAGAGGGAGACAGAGAGAGAGAGAGAGAGAAAGAGAAACAAAACGAACGAGAAAGGAATACAATCAAGAAGAAGGGAGACAGAGAGTGCCGACGAGGAGCTCGCACGCGCATCCCGCCCCGTCAGCAGGACTGCTGGGGGCTGGGTGCTCCTGCGCGCGCTCGCGATGCCCCACCCCCACCCCGCACGCCTGCCTCGGCTGCGCCCGGGAGCCAGCCCCCTCTCTACGCTCTCGCGGAATGACTGCGGGCGTCGGGGTCTCGACCCCGCGATTGAGATCATCGCGCGATCCTCGCGCGATGGAGCAGGTGGCGCGCGCGCGTCGCGCGCCGCCAGTAGTTGTTGTTGTTGTTGTCGTCATCATCATAGTAGTAGTGGTAGTAGTAGTAGTAGTAGTAGTAGTAGTAGTAGTAGTAGTCGCAGCAGCAGTAGTCGTAGTAGTAGTCGTCGTAGCAGTCGCAATATGCGTAGAAATAGTAGTAGTAGTAGTAGTAGTAGTAGTAGTAGTAGTAGTAGTAGTAGTAGTGGTAGTAGTAGTAGTAGTAGTAGTAGTAGTAGTAGTAGCAGTAGTAGTCGTAGTAGTAGTAGTAGTAGTAGTAGTAGTAGTAGTAGTAGTAGTAGTAGTAGTAGTAGTAGTAGTAGTAGTAGTAGTAGTAGCAGTAGTAGTAGTAGGAGCAGTAGTAGTAGTAGTAGTAGTAGTAGTAGTAGTAGCAGTAGTAGTAGTAGTAGTATGTAAATATAAGTCGTATTCGAGTAGTAGTAGTAGTAGTAGTAGTTAGTAGTAGTAGTATTGTAATGGTAATAGTATAGTATAGTCATAGTAGTAGTATAGTAGTAGTAGCCAGTAAGCAGTTATTCACCAGTAGTAGTTGTAGTAGTAGTAGTAGTAGGAGTAGTAGTAGTCGTAATAGTAGTTGTAGTAGTAGTATTAGTAGTAGTAGTAGTAGTAGTAGTAGTAGTAGTAGTAATAGTAGTAGTAGTAGTAGTAGTAGTAGTAGTAGTAGTAGTAATAGTAGTAGTAGTAGTAGTAGTAGAAGTAACGGTAGTAGTAGTAGTAGTAGCCGTAGTAGTAGTAAATCGTGCTAGTAGTAACCAGTAGTAAGCAGTAATAGCAAGTAATCGTAGTAGTACGTCGTATTATTAGTAGTAGTATTAGTAGTATAGTAGTAGTAGTAAGTATGTAGGTAGGGTCAATAGTAGTAGTAGTAGTGAAGCAGTATTTAATGAGTAAAAAGCTGTGTGTAGTGGTATAGTAGTAGTAGTAGTAGAAGAAGTATAGTAGTATAGTAAAGTAGTAGTATTAGTATAGTAGCTAGTGAGTAGTCGTATAGTAGGTAGTCGTCGTAGTTAGTCGTAGTAGTAGTAGTAGTAGTAGTAAGTAGTAGTAGTAGAGTAAATTAGTAGATAAAAGGGAAATTGGATTAGTATGCGTAATAGTAGTAGTAGTAGTAGTAGTAGTAGTAGTAGTAGTAGTAGTAGTAGTAGTAGTAGTAGTAATAGTAACAGTAGTAGTAGTAGTCGTATCCATAGTCGTCGTAGTAGTAGTAGGAGTAGTAGTCGTAGTAGTAGGAGTAATCCGCCGGCCCCCTTGTGGGGCCACCAGGCTGTAGGCGCGAGGTTCGCAGTTTCCTGTGCCAGTTGTAGCTTGTAGTTTCCAGTGTTACAGTTCTGCTTCTTGCTGGTTACTGTAACTGGTTGATTGACCGCGCGAGGGAGGGGGAGGCCCAAACCGACATTTTAGCACATCCTGGGCGCGTTGTCTGAATTGCTGGGGGGGCTCGAAATCGACACCCCTCACGCAGATCCGCGGGGTCAGGGTCCAAAAACACATGGGATTTGCCACATTTCTGAAATTCGGTGCCACCCCTCACGCAGATCCGCGGGGTCAGGGTCCCAAAACACATGGGATTTGCCACATTTCTGAAATTCGGTGCCACCCCTCACGCAGATCCGCGGGGTCAGGGTCCAAAAACAAAGGGGATTTGCCACATTTCTGAAATTCGGTGCCACCCCTCACGCAGATCCGCGGGGTCAGGGTCCAAAAACACAGGGGATTTGCCACATTTCTGAAATTCGGTGCCACCCCTCACGCAGATCCGCGGGGTCAGGGTCCAAAAACACAAGGGATTTGCCCCATTTCTGAAATTCGGTGCCACCCCTCACGCAGATCCGCGGGGTCAGGGTCCAAAAACACAGGGGATTTGCCACATTTCTGAAATTCGGTGCCACCCCTCACGCAGATCCGCGGGGTCAGGGTCCCAAAACATATGGGATTTGCCACATTTCTGAAATTCGGTGCCACCCCTCACGCAGATCCGCGGGGTCAGGGTCCAACAACACAGGGGATTTGCCACATTTCTGAAATTCGGCGCCACCCCTTACGCAGATCCGCGGGGTCAGGGTCCAACAACACAGGGGATTTGCCACATTTCTGAAATTCGGTGCCACCCTTCACGCGCATCCATCGCAAGGCGTGGTAACCCAAACTGCGAGAACTCCCTCGGCCCTTTAATCGCAAGGTGTGGTAACCAAGCCCTTAAACCATACACGTCTTACCAATCGCCAGGTGTGGTAACCCCTCTTGTGATCAGTTGGTTTTGCTGATTGCGACTCGGCTTCGCATGAAGTTTCGATACTGCTTCACGACAGCGCCAAGGCCTGATGACTTAGCTCTTCCATGGCCCATTCTCCGAGAGAGGGGGCCGTCGGCAGGGGGCGAAGCCTTACGATATAGTGGTGTCGCCGTCGTGTAGTAGGATAGTAGTAGTAGTATTAGTAGTAGTAGCAGTAGTAAGTAGTAGTAGTCTTGGTGGTAGTAGTAGTAGTAGTAAGTTAGTAGTAGTAGTTAGTCGTAGTAGTGATAATAGTAGTAGTAGTAGTAGTAGTAGTAGTAGTAGTAGTGGTAGTAGTAGTAGTAGTAGTAGTAGTAGTAGCAGTAGCAAAAGAAACAGCAAAAGTAGACGTAGCAGAAGTAGTAGAGGTAGTAGTAGTAGTAGTAGCAGTAGCAGCAGAAGTAGTAGTAGCAGTAGCAGTATAGTAGTAGTAGTAGTAGTAGTAGTAGTAGTAGTAGTAGTAGTAGTAGTACTCGTGGTCGTAGTAGTACTCGTGGTAGTAGCAGTAGTAGTAGTAGTAGTAGTAAAAGTAGTGGTAGTAGTAGTGGTAGTAGTAGTAGTATTCGTAGTAGTAGTAGTTGCTGTTGTAGTCGTAGTCGTAGTCGTGGACGTAGTCGTAATCGTAGGCGTAATCGTAGTAGTCGTAGTAATAGTAGTAGTAGTAGTAGTAGTAGTAGTAGTAGTAGTAGTAGTAGTAGTAGTAGTAGTAGTAGTACTAAAAGTAGTAGTAGTAATAGAAGTAGTAGTACTAGTAGTAGTAGGAGTAGTAGTAGTAGTAGTCGTAGCTGTAGTAGTAGTGGTAGTAGTAGTAGTCGGTTGTTACTAATAGAATAGTAGTAGTAGTGGTGGTAGTAGTAGTGCAGTAGCAGTAGTAGTATTAGTAGTCAGTCGTAGTAGGTAAGTAACCTATAGTAGTAATTAGTAGTGGTAGTAGTAGTAGTAGTAAGGTGTATTAGTAGTAATGTTAGTCGTATAGTAGTAAGAGTAGTAGTAGTAGTGTAGTAAGTAGTAGTAGTGTATAGTAAAGATAGTAGTAGTAGTAGTATAGTAGTAATAGTAGTAGTAGTAGTAGTAGTAGTAGTAGTATAGTAGTAGTAAGTAGTAGTAGTAGTAGAAGTAGTAGCAGTAGTAGTAGTAGTAGTAGTCGTAGTAGTAGTAGTAGTAGTAGTAGTCGTAGTAATATAGTAGTAGTAGTAGTAGTAGTAGTAGTAGTATTAGTCGTAGTAGTAGTAGTAGTAGTAGTAGTAGTAGTAGTAGTAGTAGTAGTAGTAGTAGTCGTAGTCGTAGCAGTAGTAGTCGTAGTAAGTAGTAGTAGTAGTAGTAGTAGTAGTAGTAGTAGTAGTAGTAGTAGTAGTAGTAGTAGGAGTAGTAGTAGTAGTAGTAGTAGTAGTAGTAGTAGTAGTCGTAGTAGTAGTAGTAGTAGTAGTAGTAGTAGTAGTAGTAGTAGTAGTAGTACGTAGTAGTAGTAGTAGTAGTAGTAGTAGTAGTAGTAGTAGTAGTAGTAGTAGTCGTAGTAGTC